CTCCAGGATTCGGTATAAGTGGAAGATGCACACTTTCCAAACTCATACAACAGCATCCTTCCATGATGATAAATACCAAAGAAGCATTCCTCAACAAAGCTTCATTTTTTAATTTGAGACAATTTCAATTATATGATGCTAAAAATAGCCACCCCATCACATAAAGCTGATGATATGGAAGCACTATGTGCAAGGTTTGAATTTGTTTCATTTGTTGTGTAACGCCCCACTCAGTAATATTCCAGCTATACGACAGCAGGCTGTAAATTATCAAGTCTGGACCAGACAATCCAGTGACTGACATCATGAGCATCGATCCACGCAATTGGGATACGATGCATCAACCAAATCAGCTTGTCTGACCACCTGATCCAGTTAGTCGCCTCTTACAACAAGCACAGTCGCCTATTACGTTAAACAAGGGTTGCCGAAGACCTATTCTACCCTGGATCTTCAAAGATAAGTAAGTGATTCAGATGAAGATTGGGTTGAATGGATCCAGGGTATTTAGTATCCTAGAATGAAGATATAATCCTGACAATACCCTGTATAACTGAGGATGTACTCCCTGCATCCCCTCCAGGATCCGATACTACATTGGAATGAACACGCTCTGAACCTATACAATAACCTATAACAACATGGCATACGGGTATACTGACATCATAAAGTCAAGTTTCTTCACAATTGGTATCTTAAAGGGGGCCTTGTATCTGGAATAAGGCTGGAATGCTTTTTATTTAACTGAGCTGATAATAACTTTAACATAACTTAATAACATGCATTAAACATTTCAAGAACACTTCACTGAGGTTGGAGGCTGACTCAGTATAGCTACATCCTCCAAGCTAATTGTGTGATTATTTTAACATGCATGTGACTGCACAGACGATGAGTGTCCCTACAATTTATAAACTCCATACAGCATGAAACTATCACATAACATAATGAATAAGTAATTACAGCTACCTGATAATCTTGCTTCTAAACAGTTCAACTCGATTTGTTTGTTTGTTGTTTAAGGCCGCACTCAGCAATATTCCAGCTATATGACGGTGGTCTGTAAATTATCGAATCTGGACCAGACAATCTAGTGACTGACATCATGTGTATAGATCCACGCAATTGGGATACGATGACATGCATCAACCAAGTCAGAAAGCCTGACCACTTGATCCCATTAGTGGCCTCTTGGGTTGCTGAAGTCCTGTTCTATCCCAGATCTTAAATTGTTAAACTCAATACCAGATTTTCTGACTATACACAACAGAGAATGGCAAGCTGTATGTTGGCATCAATATACAGTAAACTACAGTTATAACAAACTCGAAGGGACCACTAATTCTAGTTAGTAATAACCGTAGTTCGTCATAACCATATATACAGCATATATACAGCAAATGACTGAGACTAAAAAATAAGTTTGTTATATCAGTCAGTTCGTTATAAGCATATTCATTATAAACGTAGTTTATTGTACAGAAATGTGTTTGTACAATTAACAAAACTGAAAAGGCCACCAGGCCCAGACAATTTGCAGTTGTTGATAGGGTGCATCCACTGAGATACCATGCCGCAGGTCAACATTGACATATCACTCAGTGTACTGACTCCAAGCCGACCAGTCCTTATTATATCTCCTGAATGCCAAGCAAAAGGCAGGGTAACAACAAGTACCATCTTTTAACACATTCTGAATGAATTGACCGGTAAACCAGCAACCTCTTGCACTCTGGGCAGATGCTCTAGACCAGGGAGGCGGTCAGCAAGCAGGGTTACAAATTAACACTGGCCTGCTAGCAGAGGGCTAGTACAAATTCCTGCGGGCAATTACATATTTTCCAATTTACCCGTTGTTTTAACATTACGAGAGCATTTCAACTTTACCCGGGCTAGTAAGCTTTTCAGTATAGTTCTAATACTGGCAAGTTGTAAAAACTCATCTTAATTGTCTGCTAACTTAAATGTTACGATATGGCTCCATCAGTCAGTTAATGATTACCCATAGAACCGTATTCGACGTAATAAGCGTGCAGAGTGCTCTCAAAATTAGAACTAGGGGGCTCTTATTAGAATATTATTTTGGTGGGAGAAAAACAGAGCTGAAAGATCGTAAATTTCGTGGTTTATGCTGACAGCCTGAAATGTTTATATCCGACATAAATATTTTCCCAGGATTTAATAGCCCATAATTAAGGGTGCATATAACACATGAGTGCGTATTATACGCAAAAAAATAAGTCTTGTGTACACTGATCAATTGGAAGGGGTGCTAAATAGAATTGCTCACTAGCCAATATATTAGCAAATATCGCCGTGGGCGCTTATAAGAACAGGGCGCTTATTGCGTGAAATACGGTACTTATAAACAGTTCTTAATTTCACAGATAGGAGACATAAGATTTCTGAGGTCATCCAAATGTAAGTGTAGTCATCCCTCGAAAATAGAGATCATCATGTAAATCATGGCTGCTAAACAGCGTTCGAAATACCTGCCTGCCCGACCGTCAGAGATGGGTTGATTTCAACTCGGGCTGCCAGATTTTCAAATCTCCCTGCCCGACGGTCGGGTCATATTTCATAGGTGAAAATATTCTAAATATTTCCCGATGATACGCATTAATTCACATGTTAAGAAGAATGATAAAATGTAACCAAAAAGAAATCCCGTTAGCTTTTAGACAACCTAACATTTAGCGATGCACTTATGCTACAAGCAATCAGTTTTCATATTTTTAATTAAATTATCCTGAGAAACATATGATTATAGTGGGCAGGCAGGTTTTGGTCAGGGCTGGCTAGTATTTCAGCTAGCCAGTCCTGTGGTCTGGCTGAATTTTTTGGGAGTTTCATACCCTGTGCTAAAAAAAGTTACTTACAAATTGGTCCAGAAGTTGGTCAGGGAGCACTTACTGGAGGAGGGCACTTAATACAGTGAATACGGTACCAGGGTTTGAATTACATAGCAACTCCAGACAGTGACCATAAAATGATGATACTGTAGTGTTATTTGCGCATAGATCACACTTGAGCAACAGAAGGGACAAATAAACGGAATGGCTCCAACATAAATATGGCAACGTGCTCAAAGTTGTGATGGAATGTAAACTACACCATCACATATCACATCAAATGTGGAACAAACATATAATAAACATGTAACATAAGGCTTTAAAAGATAACTGAAAAAAATATGAAATTAATCATAAACATATTGTATGACATTTCCTCTCCAAGCACAAGCTTATTAATTAATCTATATCATATACCACATTGTATATATCATATTTGAGCATGATAACATATGTATTTCATTTTCAAATACAATAAAATAAATGAAACAGTTATCAAATATCTTTATCACTTCATATCCAAATTTAACATGTTTAATACATAGAACTTAAAATCTATATTGAACTGTTTAAATATCACCAGCTGTTCTTTGTGGTAAAAAGTTTTTCAATTGGTCTTGTAGCTTACTGAAAATCATATTGCAAAATTGAATATTTGAACTTAATTTGAAACAGAACGGAATGAACTGATATGCCCTTTGCAGTCCGTGTTCCTGAGGCAAGGGAGATAACTGACCACAAAAGTCCAGTTTCCGCCCTCGCCGAACTAGGCTAGAATTCTGGGCTCAATCGTAGCACCACCTGTGGCTGTTATGAGTTATGTCCCTTCTATGTCCCTCCTGTTGACCAATCAGATTCCACCTCTCACATCACTTACATTTGCTTCAAACAAAATGGCGGGGCCGAGTAAAGAAGATCTGATCAATAATCAAGATCTATATTGTGATCAAATTGGTCGTACTTTGAGAAGTGCATCAAATCGCGTCAGCACCTTATTATGAACATGAAAAGGTTTGGAAAACATCTTTTGACGCCGAATTGTTGGTACACATGTTCCGGATGTCTATTTCGATACGCGATTTAGATTGGACTATGCATAGACTCGTTAGTCCAGCCAAAATGTAACTCCATATATCCAGCCTAGTTCGGCAAGGGTGGAAACTGGACTTTTATAGTCAGTTAACTCCCTTGCTTTGGGAAGATGTTTGCAGTCTTGTGATATGTGATTTATATATATGTTTTAACTGACACATGTCCAACATAAAAGATACTCCGCTGCATAGGCATATTTCAAATATATTAATACATACATAGTAGTATTGTTTTTCTGCTTCAGAATTTGATAACAAAATAACAAAGTGTTCTTGTGAAATATGTAAAGGTCAGGGTTCACAATCAGCCAATCAAATGCCTAGAATAACTGAAAAGTGATATGTGCACACTCTGTAAATATCAGAAATATGTGCACCGATATGTTTTTCCCCTGGGGTAATAAAGAACTGTAAGCCCTGAATACAAACATGGAATGTTTTATACATCATGAAAGAAAACCACGACCCAAACACGTGGGTACATTGACATACAAAAGCAACATTGTGTCTTCAAAGACTGGAAAAAACCCAAACATCTACCCACCTAAACATGCATATCACAAAATCCATAACATGTCTGAAAGAGACATGAATGTGATGTAAACATAATTCCGCATACACTAAAGTTCCCCCAAAACAAACATCCCTGTAGTCAATATATACCCTGCAAACCTTTCCAAATAGAATATGGGGAAATTAATGGGCAGAAACTGAGTCATTAAGTGATGCAGATTTAGTGGTATCAACTCTTAAACATTATTAGATGATGGATAACCCAAAAAAGTGATTCTTACAAGGTGCCATTTGTATTGTTTGGACTCTAAAAGTCTGTGAGTCGCAACACTGACATCAACAGCAGGACCTCCATTATCATTGTCTGTGTTTCATGGAGTGAGTGAGTGAGTGAGTTGGGTTTAACGCCGCTTTTAACATTATTCCAGTTATATCACGGCGTGTCAGCTTAATGTGGGAGGAAAGCCTGAAGTGATGCAGATCTCAGACGTTTACCACTTTGGTGAAACCCACGAGCACGGGTATGGTGCTGACAAACCTAGAAACATAATCGGGGCGAACCGGGATTCGAAGCCACAATCATAGGTTTCTGGCATGCCCAAGGGATGCAACTCTGCACAGCGAATTGCGGCGCCTTAGACGACTGGGCCATCCGTGCCCCCTGTGTTTCATGGAAGGTGGGAAGCCGAGTGGTTAAAGTGTTCGCTCGTCATGCCGAAGACCCAGGTTCGATTCCCACATGGGTACAATGTGTGAAGCCCATATCTGGTGTTCCCTGCCGTGACATTGCTGGAATATTGCTAAAAGTGGCGTAAAACCATACTCACTTAGGGAAGGTGTCTGTGAACATTATACTCATATACCAGTAGTATTTTAAAATTGTCACACCAACATATATGAGGCCATATATATCTATTCCATTGGTTTATGAGGCCACCAACATAAAACCCTGAAGTTAGAAAAAAAGACTCTTGACAGATGACATTTTCGGGAGTTACAAGAAAGCATTCAAATCCATTCTAAAAATAGCTTTTTTAGAATCTTGCAGTCATTGGCGGTGACGTCAAGTGTTACAACCCCATTGTCTATCCAGCATGCCATTACTGGTTTATGCATGTTATGCCGGTTCTTAAAAAAACTTTCCAAATCATTTTTTAAAGAGACATTCAAAAATCAAGTCTACTGAATGAATGAGGATATATCAAGAATGATAACAACACCTTGTTGACCCTTTCACATTCATGTCATTTTTCCACATCCACCGTAATCCATCATCACGATCAAGACAACATAAGCTTGTTAAAATTTGTAGCAACATACTTGTAGCAAAACTTCTGATCTTATGAAACACAAATCAATGTTAGAAATGAAGCATGAAAGTATAGGGCTCCTTGGCACAGCCCTAGTACTAAAACAAAATAGGGGGTCTCTAGAATAAACATTCTAATTTTCACGTGTTCATGATTAATCAATACTTATAATCTCAGTCAACCTGATCTGCCTGTTCTTCCCACAATCTCATCAATACAGTCAAAAGTAAACCACACTCTCCATTTCTGCTTCTTAAAGCACAGCTGGGGCTCAAAATTGTCTCATGATTGCTGAGTAGATCAATTTCCAGATCAATGTACTGCAGCCATTACATTAAGGCCCAATTAATGTACTCTAGCCATTCACTAAGACACCTTAGTCCGGTACGTGCATGTCAAGCCAAACTAAACATTCAGCTAAGTAAGAAAGATAACATGGGACAGTCAATAACGATACAAAGGTCCTGACCACTTTAAACAATGCCTCACTACACATTGTTTTAGTAGACAGTACCTTGATATCCTGACAATGCACTCTTGCGCCTTCTCTCTCTTTCATATAATACTTGTCTTTGGCTCTGGATTCTGTTCTTGTCCTGGCTCTAGTCTAAGATCATATCCTCGTCCTCTTCATCCGTGTCGGACAGCAGGGGGATCTTGGCGCCGTTGGGGGGCGTGGCGTACCGCACCAACCCGTGGAGGCTGGTAAGGGGCAGCAACTGCTTCTGTTTGCGTTTGAGGTAGCGGTGTTGACGGCAGGCGGCCACCATGAAGACGCCCGCGATCAGCGCAATGAAGATGAGGATGAGGATATCTGAAACACAGGCCAGCCGATCAACAGATCCATGTGACAGGGAGAACAGATACATTTCAAGCACTTCATGAGCATCCCTCGCCAGTCTTGTCTCATCACAGGATTGGGACACTCCCTCTATCATCTGACCTGTGGCTGTATGACATGAGTGAAAAAAAGTTCATGATATAGCCTGTGAATTCATGTTATAGCCTGTAAAGTTCATGATATAGCCTGTAAAGTTCATGATATACCCAGTGAGTGCATGATATAGCCTGTAAAGTTCATGATATAGCCTGTGAGTGCATGATATAGCCTATAAGTTCATGATATAGCCTGAGTTCATGATATAGCCTGTGAATTCATGATATAGCCTGTAAAGTTCATGATATAGCCTGTAAAGTTCATGATATACCCAGTGAGTGCATGATATAGCCTGTGAGTTCATGATATAGCCTGTAAAGTTCATGATATAGCCAGTGAGTGCATGATATACCCTAAGTGTATGAGTGCATGATATCCGTAAGTGTGTGAGTGCATGATATACCCTACGTGTGTGGGCGGCATGATATACCGTAAGTGTGTGAGTGCATAATATACCCTAAGTGTGTGAGTGCATGATATACCCTAAGTGTGTGAGTGCATGATATACCCTAAGTGTGTAATGCATCATATACCCTAAGTGTGTGAGTGCATGATATACCCTAAGTGTGTGAGTGCATGATATACCCTAAGTGTGTGAGCGCATGATATACCCTAAGTGTGCGAGTGCATGATATACCCTTAGTGTGTGAGTGCATGATATACCCTAAGTGTGTGAGTGCATGATATACCCTAAGTGTGTGAGTGCATGATATACCCTAAGTGTGTGAGTACATGATATACCCTAAGTGTGTGAGTGCATGATATACCCTACGTGTGCAAGTGTATGATATACCCAAAGTGTGTGAGTGCATAATATTGTCTAAGTGTGTGAGTGCATGATATACCCTAAGCATGTGAGTGCATGATATACCCTAAGTGCACGTGTTCATGATATACCCAAAGTGTGTGAGTGCATAATATACCCTAAGTGTGCGAGTGCATGATATACCCTAAGTGTGTGAGTGCTTGATATACCCTAAGCATGTGAGTGCTTGATATGCCTTAAATGTGTGAGTGCATGATATACCCAAAGTGTGTGAGTGCATAATATACCCTAAGTGTGTAAGTGCATGATAAACCCTAAGCATGTGAGCGCATGATATACCCTAAGTGCACGTGTTCATGATATACCGAAAGTGTGTGAGTGCATAATATTTCCTAAGTGTGCGAGTGCATGATATACCCTAAGTGCGCTTGTTCATGATATACCCAAAGTGTGTAAGTGCATGATATTTCCTAAGTGTGTGAGTGCATGATATACCCTAAGCATGTGAGTGCTTGATATGCCTTTAATGTGTGAGTGCATGAGTTAGCCTGCAAGTACATTATTCAGGCTGTTAGTGCATGATTTAGCCCATGAGTGCATATGTGCATGATTTAGCTGTAATTTCAAATTTTGTCTGACTTGATGATATATTGCAAGTGCAAAAGTGCATGATTTAGTCTGAGACTACTGGGGGACTGTGATAACAAAAATCCAACACTGAATAAGTTCTTCATCAATTTACACCAATATTAATGTCTGCCATTCCTATTACTGTCTACCATTGTCTCCCACAGCAGACAGAAATGTGTGCAATAATAATAATGTAATCTGTGGGCACCTGCAATTGACATCACAATCAGCTGATACGTTCAACCAAATTTGGTCAAAACCAAAGACAATGTTCATGCTTATTAACATAAATAATATGTTGTAACTAGGGCTGGCTAAAAAGATTGACAATCGGAAATATCGTTAATGGGAAGAAATATTTGTGATTATCGATATGAAACTGTTGTAATTGATAATAACTTTCATACACTTGTGTGATAAAATAAAGTTCACAGACATGTTACTGTCAATAATGGCAACTGTCGAAGATGGAAAGCTGTTTTTGTTGTATCTAAAAAATGTCCACAAAATATTCTATGCCTAAATGAATAACTGCTTACCAGTGGGGTGAAATATATGAAATATATAGTTCTTGCATATTTGCTTCAAGTTACTTCTCTGATTATCGATCTCTATAATCTATATCAATAGCCAGCCCTAGTGGTAACCATGGTAACTATTTCTCATGTTAACAGAGTGATGATATACTTACAAGTTCCAAATGTTGTAACAGTATAATCAGCATGATCATCGACTGTCTTTAACAAGGGGAGACAATTCTGTAAGCTACCATTATTTGGCGCCGGCTCAAGGCCCAGGAGGTGACACATGAGGGGATAGACATCGACATTGTTCAAGATGTCCACACTGGCGCCAGCCTTGAAGGATGGCCCCATTGCCAGGAAGAATGGATGCATGTCTTGGAGAGAGTTGTCCCAGCCATGGTTCCCCACTGTGGACAGAGAGGAAGAACTTAACCATGGTTCCTTTGATGTTTAACGCTGCTCTCAGTAAATATTCCAGCAATATGACAGCTGTCAGTAAATAATAAAGTCTGGACTGGACAATCTAGTGACTGACATAATGAACATCAATCAAATCAAATGACATGCATCAACCAAGTCAGCGAGCCCGACCATCCGATCCCTTTAGTCGCCTCTTACAACAGGCATAGTCACCTTTTACGTCTAACATGGGTTGATGAAGACCTATTCTACCCCAGACCTTCAAGGGTCACTATGTGCAAGTTTGTTTGTTTGTTTGTTTGTTGTTTAACGCCGCACTCAGAAATATTCCAGCTATATGACGGCGGTCTGTAAATAATCGTGTCTGGACCAGACAATCCAGTGATTGATATCATGAGCATCGATCCACGCAATTGGCTATGTGCAAGTAAGTGATTCAGATGAAGATGGCAGTGAATTGATCCAGGGTATTTAGTACCCTGAAAGAAGATATAATCCTGACAATACCCTGTATGATTGAGGATGTACTCCCTGCATCCCCTCCAGGATCCGATACTACATTGGAAGGAACATGCTCTGAACCTATACAGTACTGCAAAACGTGAAATTAACGCGTCTCAAAAAGAATGCGACGGATGGCCCCTAGCCAAAAATGCGACTCAATATGAATGCGACACCCCCTCCTCTGACTGACTGATTGACTGACTGATATAGGAGATTTAACGTGCGCTTTCCGACTGCAGCGTATTTCGCACACGGGCCTGGCCGGACTATTTAGTGTATTCCGAGAAGGGTGAAAGTGGTGTGAGCATGGCTATGGTGCTGACAAACCTTGGAACATAATCGGATCGAAGCAGGATTCGAACCCAAAACATAGGATTCTGGAACGCCTAAGGTACGCAACTCTGCACAGCGAATTATGGCACCTTAGACGACAGGGCCCCTGTTACCCCTCCAGGATCGGGTATAAGTGGAAGATCATCTTCCGAAGATGCACACTTTCCAAACCATGAGGGCTGACAAGGATATATGATATGGAAGTACTATGTGCAATGTTTTCGTTTTGTTTCATTTGTTTTGTAACGCCGCACTCAGCAATATTCCAGCTATACGACAGCAGGCTGTAAATTATCAAGTCTGGACCAGACAATCCAGTGACTGACATCATGAGCATCGATCCACGCAATTGGGATAAGATGCATCAACCAAGTCAGCTAGTCTGACCACCTGATCCGGTTAGTCGCCTCTTACAACAAGCACAGTCACCTATTACGTTAAACAAGGGTTGCCGAAGACCTATTCTACCCTGGATCTTCAAGGGTATATGCAAGTAAGTGATTCAGATGAAGATTGGGCTGAATGGATCCAGGGTATTTAGTATCCTAGAATGAAGATAGAATCCAATACCCTGTATAACTAAGGATGTACTCCCTGCATCCCCTCCAGGATCCGATACTACATTGGAATGAACATGCTCTGAACCTATACAGTACTGCAAAACGTGAAATTAACGCGTCTCAAAAAGAATGCGACGGATGGCCCCTAGCCAAAAATGCGACTCAATATGAATGCGACACCCCCTCCTCTGACTGACTGACTGATATAGGAGATTTAACGTGCGCTTTCCGACTGCAGCGTATTTCGCACATGGGCCTGGCCGGACTATTTAGTGTATTCCGAGAAGGGTGAAAGTGGTGTGAGCAACACAAGAGGGGGCTTTTAGGGGTTGCTTATATTGAATTTTTGGAATTTTTAAATTTGGAATAAATGCCGAGGTGGATGGAGGACCTCCTCCTCTCAAGCATCAGTGAATTTATATCTAAACAAAATGTCCTCTGTCAGTTTACAGGAGAATCCTCACCTTAATCCAACCTTACATTAATCCAATCACACACCAAATAGCACCGCTTATTAGCGCTGGGTAGAGTACTTCAGCTTAAACAATACGTGCGCGCTGGCTTGTGTCGGCCTTTGATGCAGTCGCAAAGATCAAAGACACCATGTTGGGTGGTGTCTGTCTGGACTTGCAGGTGTGATCAGTGAGAAAATGAGTGAGTAGAACGCTTGTCTTGACCCCAGCAGTGACAATTCACAGGATGTAATTAGTGTTTGAATGTCATTGTTTATATACTTGTAACAAGTGCTGCTCAATAAACATTGATGTGGAATACATAGTTGTTTGTTTTCAGTGTATGTCTAAGTTGGTATTTTTGCTATCCAAAATGTCTTATTGTTGATATATACGCGATGTTTAATAATGCGAGCAAAGACCACTCGCATTTTTCGCATTTAATTCATGCTCGCGTTAATATCAAGATTTACAGTAACCTATAACAACATGGCATATGTGTATACTGACATCACAAAGTCAAGTATCTGGTATTTTAAAGGGCAGGGATGTGAGCAGGTTTTCCCGAAAAAAAGAGGAAAAGTCTCATGGGGTCTTGGGGCATGCCCCCCCAGAAATTTTTAAAACATTTGATTGCATTTTAAGCAATTTTGTGCAGTTTGGACAACATTCACACCAAGAAATGTAATAAGTCAATGGCCAAAGTCAATAAGTCAAATAAACAAGATGGCAGATGCAGTAAAATTTCGAAGTTAAATCAGTACTTTTATAAAATTGGGCATAGCTTTCGCGCACCTGGCTACCCGCCAGGTCTGGGAGCAATACTGCCATAAACACTAACCCCCATCCCCCAGACACAAGGACAACTGTCACAAGCGTGCAATGTCTGACCCTTTCCCCATGTTGAAGCATATTGAAAAAAATTTACCTTGTACTTACCTTTTGATGAAAAAATCAAAACTCCATTGCAAACATAAGACATTAATACAACATATATCCCCATGACATGGGGTTTTGGACGCTGAAGAAACATTCATAGTTTTCTCGCTTATCACATGAACAACTGTAAAACATCTCATTCACTTACAGGATTAAAAGACAATTTTATCTTAAAAACAAGCCATCAGCTGACTCTGAGTATTTACAATTTCTGTGTGACGCCACACCCCACGTTATAGTGCTAGTATTCGTGACAGAAAACGTGTGATGTCCGAAAACCTATGCTGGTGAAAGCTCTGATCGAAAACAGGACAATCCGCGCCAATTGTCCGGTTTTCGATCATATTTTTCGGAGTGTTTTTTTAAAAAAATTACTATTTTTTTACGCAGAAGATGTTTTTTTCCGAGGACTACTGTTTTAAAAAACACAATTTTTCCGCGTCTCCGCGGAGATTTCACATCCCTTTAAGGGGGCCTTGTGTCTGGAAAAAAGCTGGAATGCTTTTCAGCATTGGTTGCTGAAGGCCAATTCTAACCCAGATCATCATGGGTCCCTAAGCTGAGATATTGCTGGAATATTGCTAAAAGCAGTGAAAAAAACATTGTCACTCACTCATTTATGATGACATCACCATGTCAAAAATCTATTATACTAAAAGACATTGTACAAAATGTATTATAACCTTCTTTTTTCTTCTCATCTTCCCGAGGCAAAGGAGTTAACTGACTATCAAAAGTCCAGTTTCCGCCCTTGCCGAACTAGGCTGGAATTTCCAGGCTCAATCATATAGCGCCACAAAGCACCGTCGCCTTGTATGGCAAGCATGGGTTGCTGAAGACCTCTTCTACCCCAGATCTTCACGGGTCTGTGGTGTATCAATGGAATTTTAGTGTTATTGTCATTACCGTTTTCGACGCAATAAGCGCCCAGGGCGCTCTCAAAATTAGAAATAGGGGGCACTTATTAGAATATTATTTTGGTGAAAAAAACAGAGTTTAAAGATAAATTTCGAGGTTTATGCTGACAGCCTGATATGTTTATGTACGACAGATATATGTTTCCAGAATTTAATTGCCAATAATAAAGGGTGCGTATAACACACGAGTGGGTATTATATGCGAATAGGGGAAGGAAGCGGTGCAGATCATATGCGAATAGAGGTCGGAAGGGGGGCTAATGTGGGATTGTTCACTAGCCAATATATCAGCAAATCTCGCTGTGGGCACTTATTAGGGCGGGGCGCTTATTACGTCGAATACGGTATATCACATGACTAACCATGGGTCTAGGTAGTTCTGTGGGTACCCGGGTCCTACTCAAGACCAGCCCGACCCGAGTACCCAAGTACCCAAGTACCCAAGTTACCTGTCCCAGCCCTTGACCATATACAGTTCCATGGCATAAAGAGGGTTAACCATGTGAAAATAGCTTACAAAGTGTGAGTCACATGTTTATGTGGTTTTTACATCAGATTAACCCAGATTGTGTGCGTCAAACCTCTCTACTTCCTGCTCCACAGGTTCTTGTCAAATGCCTATCATTTATCAAGGTTGCCAGCGGCTCTCGACACTCGACATACACAAACACTGCATCATCAGTGATAACACCATCAGCGATAACAGAATCAGTGACATGCATGTGCCTTGATTTAAGGAACTTGATGTAACTTGCACCAAACAAAACCAGGTTGCATCCTCGTCTAGGGCTGGGAGCCTGGGACGAGTCCAAATTTACTACCCGGGTACCCACCACTCTATTACCCGACCCTACCCGGGTACCCGCTGTAGGTATTTAGAGATAGGTACAAAATGTCCGATTTGGAAAAATTTGACCTTAGCCCTGGCACAATGTATTTAGATACACGTGTAAAACGATCCGGTCATGCATACACTGAAGTTTACTGCATGAAGTTTTATCTTTATTCAAACATATAAAAGTCAGAAGGAATGGGTGCATTGTCAGAAAGAAATGGGATCGTTAGTGACTTATAGTGTAACCATAGAGTTTTAGATAATTTTTGTCATTAAACAATATAGCACGTGACTAACCACGGGTCCGGGTAGTCCTGTGGGTACCCGGGTCCTACTCAGGATTAACCCGACCTGAGTACCCAAGTTACCCGTCCCAGCCCTACCCTCGTCCCATAAAATTATCAAAGTTGAAACAGTCTGCTGCTAGTTTCATACAGATAAATGCTG